CTCTTCGTTAGAAGCAACATTGGCGCCTAGCTTGTAGCGGCGTAACTTTTTTGGTTCATTTGTAGCTCAAGGGAGCTGTATCCGTTTTTTGATTAATTTTCCCTTCGGCCCTTTTTTTTGCCTTATTCTTTAGATTTTGGTCTCTTAGAACCATCTCTCCCATTTTTGTTTCAGCATACCTCGCGTCATCCCTCGTCACCTGCTCACCCCTCGTCGGGTACCCCCAATGTGACGGCCGTTCCAGAGGACGTTTTTGCTGCTGATCCTTTCGCTTCTTCTTCCCGCCCCCCAGCCCAACCAATTCCACAATGGAACAAATTTTCGTGCTTCAGATCGAATCGGTTCACAGCGGATCCTCTTCATCGAAGCGCCCCTGCTAATTCACCTGATAGACGACGCCGTTTCCCATTTGAAGATGGTTGCCTCCCTGTACCCTTCCACCCATGTGACCCCCGTCCCGTTAGAACAGACCCTCGTGAACATCCCCGACGGGATAGAGTCCCTGTCATTTCTAATCGGCTGATCTATCTCCAAAGATCTCTAAACGAGAGTGATTGTGCTAGTGGGTCTTCAAATAGACAAGCTGGTGGCCCGTTGCCTCGTTGGAGTGACCAATTTTGTCACAACTCATTTCGCCAATCCTCGTTGGCCGCAAGTTTGTTGAGTCCCCGAATAGGATTATCAAATGTTATGACATCTCTCCAGTCACATCGTTCGCCTCATTTTAATCTTCCTGCATTTCACGTAGCTATGACGCAAAGGGATCCAAACATGACGTCAGCCCAGCAAATGTGTCCGTTGCAGTGCCCCTCCAACGGCTATATGATTTAAAACATTTTTCAATAAAACCAACATTTTGAGGAGGAACAACTATTCGGTGTTTTTTTTTCAGTTCCGACCGCAAAAGTTGGTTGAAGGCGTAAAACAATTTGTTTTAATGCAACAGAGAGGTTCTGACGCATCATCAGTACAAAGGAACAAAAAAGGTGCAATTTAGAAGTTGAGTTTGATTGTGGGAATAGTAACATCGACCTGGACGGAGCATAGAATTGTTCGACTCGATTATCTCAAGTGACTTACACCATCCGCATCGGAACATGACGCTTCAACAGCGACGTACCGTCGACCGGTGGGGGAGTGGCACTTTGGTAATGGATTCAGTCAGCTGTCCCAAAAAGAAACGAACATGTTGAGTAGGTCACTCGATTGGCATACCTCCTTCACTTTCTTGTCCAAACGCTCTTTGTGGGACTTGAGGAAGCTGTTATACAAACAAGCGTTTCCGACGGAAAGAATGGAAACTTCGACTTCTTGAGATCTTTCAATTTCGCGAATTAATTCGCCCACAGAAGCATTAGCTAAGAATCAAATTAGAAATGTGTTGATGAAATTAGAAATGTGTTAATATCTTCAGCTCACGAATATTTAGCACAAGGATGTCCCAAGGCGTGAATCCGTTTGGCTTCGCTCTGATCGGACCTCCAGCAATTGGATCATAATCCTTATTTTTTGTTTGTAAGGGAGGAAGCGGTTCACTCAGAATGAAGAGGGGCAGGGCCAAATTAACAAAACTATTTTTGAAATCTTGAATAGAGCGTTCTTGATAAGTGACAATTTTGAGCAATTCTAAGCTGACAAGTCCTGAACAGCACAGCTACTATACAAGCGATGTTGAATGTTGCGCACCTGTCACCATTGCAGTTGTCGTCGCGATAGCGGGAATAATTTTACCAGCGATCATTTTCGTCTTATGTCTGTCACACTCTGGAATGCTGAAAATAAAACAAGAATATACCGAGAGCAACACACAGTAGAGTTCGCGCCTACCGATAATTCCGAGCTCGCAGATTCGCGCACGCAGAAATAAAATCGATGTGGAAGTTTGTATCGTCATCTTTTTCAAATTCAACTGGAGCAACTTGCGCTGCAAAGCCTGTTTTTTGCAGAGATTCGGCGATTTGGACCAGTTCTCGTTGCAATTTGTCCTTTACAATTTCATCATCTGCCGCTCCTTCTATTGTGTTGTCTTTCTCATCGACCTTGATTCGAATTTCTTTAGCGCGAAACGCTTGAATTTGAACATTTTCAGCGATTTCACGAATACGTTGTTTGCTTCTTTCTTGCTGAATTCCCAAATTGTAAGCCATTAAATTCGCAGCAGCTGCTACAAATTCGAGATGCATTGCATCATTTGGATTGAATTGGAGTCGCTGAGGGGGCCGTTTTGGACCGCTCCAGAACGGGAGTCCTCCAGATGTTAAATGATCCAATGGGAACGTGTGGAGAAGTTGCGCGATCTGATGGTCAAAGTAGTTAACGAAAAGAGCAACAGCCTTTGAAACGCAAATCGCCATCGTTGGACCTCCTTTGAGGGTTGCGAGTAAATCATGAATCTTCTCAAGTCGTTCACGCTGCGTTGCTGTCGTTCCTTCCGAACAAAGACGCATCAAGAATCCGTTGACGTTGTTCAAAAAAGATGAGGCTTCTTGAGGGCCATCGCAAAATAATCCCTGGAAAAGATCGCGCGACCATTCAATCGTATGTTCAATCTGATTTGGAAAGTGGCGCAATGTGCAAAGAGGTATCGAATCCTCGGGAGGATCTTGACTGTCACCATAGCTTTGCGTCATGCAAGGAATCACAACTTGAGAATTTGCTTTCGTTCCCAACGTTCCAGATTCGAGAAGTGGTTTGCGATACCAAACGCATCGTCCATCGATATAGAGACGACTTTGGACGTTGTCCAACGCGTTGACAACGAAGTCTAGTCCCTCCCAGAAAGAATCGTTGAACTCTTCTTCAGTTTCGGGACCAACACGCGCCTCGCTGGAAATAACGCGCAGAGATGGATTCATAGTTGCAGCAGCTTCAGCAGCTGTGCGGGATTTCGGGGTCCCAACATGATGACGACGGAACAGGAACTGCCGATTCAGATTTGACACCTCGATTCGATCCATATCGGTCACAGTCAGACTTCCACTGAAATGGACCAGAAATCATTGTATTTGAAAGAAAGGTGCGTCTTACTGGCTTTCTCTGGTGCTACAACCCATCAGGGCAAAACTCTTCAAATATTCACATCCAAGAGCTCCCGCTCCAACAACGAACATTCGAATCTTGCCGAGACGCTCTTGGAAATTTTTACCCCAAATTGCAATTTGATGATCGTAACGGCTATTCAAGGGTTCGGTGTCTGCGAGTCAAAAAGTCCAGGGAGAGTTCAGAATTGATGGACTTACCAACAGGAGGGGTTTTCAAAAGACACTCAAAGGCATCAAAATAAAGCCACTGGTGCAACGGCGTGAATTTTCCTGTAAACTTGACAACTTCTTGCGCGACGACTCCGCCCAAAAAAGCAGCGATTGGTGAAATATGACAAGATGCATAATACACGATATTTTCGATGATTGCGCGATCGATCGAATCCACAGGAGCAGATTTCCAATTCACTCCTTCATTCGTTTCCTCTGATGATTTTTTCGCTTGTTCATTTAAATGATTTGCAGTTGCGAGACATTCTTCCACTGCTGCTGAATTTCTTGGAGGCGGCAAAAAACCGTGCTTCTCCTAAAAAGGGAATTGAGCCCCATCCACAACCGAGAGCACTGATGAAAAAAAATGACTTACTCTGTAGGCGTAGACAGCTTGGATCCCAAAGTGCAATTGCTCAGATCGTCCGAATTTCGCCAAATCAGGAACCAAGAGAGAATCCTCATCGGAAGCGACTGGGCGTTCCAAACAAAGTTCCAATGATCTGAATTGAATCTTTGATGGAACCTTCACCTGTTCTACAACTCCATCACGCAAATACGCAGGCAATTCTTTTGTATCGCAATCAATAGAAATTGAATATCTTCCAGATGATAAAATTTTAACTGCCATTCGATTATTCAATTCAGACATTCCCTGAATTTCTCTAAACTGAACAAAATCCCCCAACTCGAAAGGATTACGTTTGTCTTGATGCAAATGGACTGTTGCTGGATAATCCTATAATAGAGGCATCGAAGAGTTGAGTCCATCAAGATGGGATCCTTCTTACTTGAGTTATTCCTTCAATAATTGAAGATTGAGGCTGTTCCCCGTTTCTATCGAAAACTGCGAATTCATCCCCAAAGTCAACAAATACTGACGCACATAAACCAAAACCGTCCATCGCTACAAATCCGATTGAAGGCTCATGAGAGCGACAAATCCTATTGATTCTGATCATTTCTGACATTTTCATATCCGACACTACGACGACATCGAATTGATGGAGAACTTCTGGTGACAACTCCCCTTCAATGATTGTAGTGCTGACGTAATCGTTTAATTCTGAGAGACGTTTCACGCATGCTTCAGCTCTGCTCACACCCTGCTGTACATCCTGCTCTGTCAAGTAGAAATTAGAGGCTAAATCTTGAATTCTGCTTATAGTTGGATCATGCAGTGCAACAGTATTTGGTCCGGCTAAGATGAGATTCTTTGCTAAAAAAAGAAATCAGGAAGTGGGAGTATTCAATCAACTAGCTAGTTACCTGTTTCAACACCAGCGCCGTTCAAACCGCAGATCAACACCTTCATTTTGATCAGCTTTCCCATCATCTCAAAACCGAATGCCCCGATCTGGCGGCTATAGAGGTCCGTATCGATAACCTCATTGCTCGCGTTCATTGTTGCTTGCCTCTTCTCTGCAAAAAAAATAGGACCCTAAAAACAGTAGGCCTTTTTCTATCACCTTTGGGCACCGGGAGATCTTCTAACAATCTCTTTCGGGAAGACGTTGTTGAGGACGATATGATGGCAATATAAGGAATGATGGCAAAGTACGTAGTACCACGCTTTTTCAAAAAAAGGTGAGTTCAATACGACTATCCTGTTCCCAGCTGTTCCCAATATGCGTGCGTGGTCCTATTACTATATGGCTCCGTTCGGTAACGTTAAAAAGACTCGAGCGCTAGGGCTGTTCCTGACGCAAAGCTGCAATATGCCACAAAAGTGTTTTATTATCCCGTTACTGCAAGTTGCCATTAATCCAGCATGAGCTCAATAGAAGATGAAGTTGTTCCTGCAGTGCGGCATCGATTACCGGGTACAAGCAATTGCGATGAGTCTGACTATCAGGACCAAGGCAATAATGAAAATGAAGAAATAAATTTGGCAGCCATCTCAAATGATGTGAAGCGATTCCCATTTCTCCGAAGAAAATCTCATAATTTGGTCCCGAAGCAATCGATCGATTGGAGCCTTGTGAAGCCCCGCGTTAATTCCAGGGAAGCCCCTCAGCGATTAAGCGTTCCAGCGGCAAAATTTCGAGAAAGTGCCTTGATTGCTCCGTGTTACAAGCAACGCTACCGCTCAGGAGAAATTCAGGTGAAAGCCGAACCACTTTCGGACCAGCAGAATATTGAGCGAAAGTCCCCACCACGCGTCGAAGAAGCACCCAACAACCAACGACGCAATATTCCTCTAGGTCGTGTTTCAGCTCCAGGCCGGCTGTATACGCGACAGAAATAGTGTTCTAGCGAGAATGTTTTTTAGTGTGCCTATACCTGAAACACTGAAAATATGAAGCGGTCAGCCTTGCTCGTTGTGGATGTTCAGAATGACTTCTGCGAGCCTGAGGGGTCCCTCGCGGTTCCGGGATCGTTAAAAATCATTCCAATCATCAATCAATTAAAGGCTGATAATCATTACGCGTGTGTCTATTTGGCATGCGATGCTCATCCTCCCGATCATTTTTCATTCGCATCGAATCATCCCGGTAAAGCGCCATTTGAGAAAATCGAAATTGATGGAACCGCATTTGATTTGTGGCCGGCGCATTGTGTGAAGGGAACTCAGGGCGCACAATTTCATCCTCTCCTGAATGTGAATGAACGGGATGTGATCATTGAGAAAGGAACTCTACGGCATCGAGAATGTTATTCTGCGTTTGGGTCTCAAGAAGAAGACACGAATGTACGATGTCGTGCAGCTCGATGTGTCTGTTTCTCATTGATTTGATTCCTGTTAGTTCAATGAGTTCGCCATGTTCAAAATCTCGTCTTGTTGGCATGCATCTATTATTTTCCATTTTCAGATATTGAGTGATTTGAAATCGCGTCAGATCGACTCTCTAGATATTGTTGGTCTGGCTCTTGATTATTGTGTAAAGGAAACAGCCAGGGATGCAATTCAAAACGGTTTTAGTGTTCGGGTAATTGAAGATGCAACAGCAGCAGTTGGAAATTCGTTGATTGTTCAATCTGCAAAGGACACCCTGACGCGTCTTGGTGTTCAATTCCTCCTTTCTTCTCAATTGAATGAAGGAAGCTGACGATTCGTTTCTGTTCATTGAACGTTCCTCGTACCGAATGTGAACAACATATACTCGTGTACAGCTAGCTTTTTCAAACATGAATACTGGGCTCACCTGCATGCAAATTACGCACTGATCCAATCCAACACACAAATTTTCCTCCTTCAAAAGAAAAATGAGTCGCCGGGATTTGGTGATCCGGTTGGTTGTTGTTAAGGCTGAAAATTTGCCGAACATCAATGAGCCATGTGGGGGACCCCCCTTTGCGTATGTAAAAATCAAATGGAACGGTGAAAAGTATAAAACAGCTATAGACAAAATTCATGATTGGAATGCCCAATTTCTGTTATCCTGGCGAGTAAGCACAAGTCTGTCTTGCTTCTCTCTTTGATTTCTTTCCACCAGACTTCCGATCCAGAATCAACCTTGCACGTGGAGGTGTGGTCCTCTTATCCGGGCACTACTGGCCGCCATATGGCAATTGGATCGGTTCCTATCGACTTGCGAAGTTTACAAGTCTGTCTTTATTGATCTCTTCTCCCTCATACATCTGTGTGTCTCTAGCTCAACGGCACTTCTCGTGCTGTCTATGGGTTGATGCGCGCGGCGTCCTGCCCAGGCTTTGGTGACAGCAATCCAACATTAAAGCTACAAATTCAACTTTTTGACCCTTCAAATCCTCAAGGAGCGCCGTGTGCGTCTTCCCCACAGCCTTCTCCTCTACAGCCTTCTCCCCCACAGTATTCGCCTCAACAGCAACCCCAGTATTCGCCTCAACAGCAACCCCAGTATTCGCCTCAACAGCAACAGTATTCACCTCCTTCCCCAAGACAGCCTTCTCTCGGACACTCTTCTCATTGCCATTCTCCTATGGATGAGCTGTTCCACACAGCGGCACCTATTCCAGCAAAACCATTCGGGGATCGCTTACTTCAGGACCAACAAAAAGAGGCAAGATCTGAGTTAGTTGCTCGCATGTCGCGCGACAACCCCTCAGCGTCACCAGCAGACGTCCACAAGTAAACAATGTGGGACGAAATCTCCTATAAAAACTGTTTCTGTCTGCAGGGCGTTAGAAATGGCAAATTTTGATCAGGACGAAGCCATGGAGCACCTCGCAAACATCCTGACTGAGAAGCTCGTCGGGAACGTAAGCAAGACAGTTCGTTGCGCTTTTACTTGATCGATAGGCCAAACATGAGAGATTGCTCCCTTTGGTCCTTCCACCAGGTCATTTCTCCATCAACTACTGACGATTCGGGATTGTCGAGTGATGATGACTCGCTCACTTTTAGCAGCGGGACTGATGATGACGCAAGGCAGGCAGAGGAAATGAAAAGACTTGCCCAAGTTGGAAATCGCGATGCAATTAATTGGATCAGAAGAAAGAAGCATGAGAGACGACAACGAAGAAAACCTCGACGGAACTTGGCTGATGCCAACGCAGAAGCACGAAGGCGACGAGAAGAACAACGACACCGACCAATCGAGCAACTCCCTTACGAAGTGACGGGAACGCGAAGGCGACTTCCAGTTCCACCAGAAGAGCGTCTTCAGGAACTTTTTCCGTTTTGTTCTCCTCAGCAAATCCGACAGTAAGCTGAATAGAAAGGACCATTGATTTCATCAGATCTTTGTTAGAGCCTTGATGAAATATAATAACGACGCTGATCAGGCTCTTGATGATCTGCTGGATTCACGCATTGATGAAGTTGGAAAAGTAGGCGTTTTCGTTTCATTTCTCTGGAGATGAGTGTTCTCATATTTCAGACCATGGGGGCACAGCAGCTCTCTTCAACTGCTGTGTTGCCTCAAAGACCCGAGGACTTCTCAAAAACGTTTTTGAATTTCGCTCCTGGCCATTCGGATCCTCCGTCTGTCAATCTTGATGCGTCTGTTGCAGAAATGGTTTCTGAATCTCCTGACCAGCTTGTAGCTGAAAGTGGTGAGTCTGATTTCTTGTCGGATAAACAGTTCGGCTCTAATAAATGGCCCCTTTTAATCCCTTTAGGGCGACGCAAGGCGTTACTGATAGGGATAAACTACCTGGGAACATCCCGGGAGCTTCGTGGCTGTATTGAGGATACGAAGAACATGCGCAAATTGTTAACAACTATTTATGGATTTCCAGATAACGATGCTGCTATCACGGTCCTAACTGATGACAATCCAAATCCTTACCTTCAACCAACGAAAAAGAACATACTTGCGGTAGGGACCCTCCTTTAGTGTGCCAACAAGTGATGAGGCTCTAATTAGGCTTTCCAATGGCTTGTTTCTGATGCCGAGCCCGGTTCCGTTCTCTTCTTTCACTTTTCGGGTCACGGGGGCCAATCAATGAACAAACGTGTAAGCAACACTCTACTTCACGAGTCTTCCGCAAGAGTCTATCTCAAATAACGTCTATCTCAAATAATCTCCACCAGGGAACAGAGATGGATGGCTTTGATGAGACGATCATGCCAATGGATTACAAGAAAAAGGGTCACATTATCGATGATGACGTGTTTGCGTATCTCGTGGCCCCCTTAAAAAGCGGCGTACGATTAACCTGTTTGATGGACTGTTGTCACTCTGGCTCTGGTATGGGTTGTCAACCGTTCTATTTCGAGTTTCTGTTGTTGTAGCGATGGATCTTCCCTTCATATGGAACGGCAGCAAGCGAAAATGGGACAGAGAGTGGAAACCAAAATTTGCCGCTGGGGATGTACAGTTGTTCTCTGGTTGTGCTGATGAGGAATCGTCGGCTGATTTTTACATTCCTCAACAAGAAAAGGGTTCGTTGGTTAACGCGCAGTCGAGACCAATTCGTGTTAACCTTCAGGTGGAGCCATGACAAAGGCGTGGAGACACACACTTGCGGCGAATCCTTTTGGTCACACATACCCATCCCTCATGGAAAGCATCGCGAAATTTCTTCATAACTGGGGATTCTATTCGCAGACTCCCCAGTTGTCTTCTTCACAAGAATTTACATTCGATCGCCCATTTGCGTGAGTCCCAACATGTTACATGTTTCGATCGTCAGTTCTATTGTCCCTTGTGTTTTTATAGACTCAACTCAATCGTCCCCAACACGAATCGGATGCTAGGAAGGGTTCCGAATCAAAATCTTGCTCCAAATCCTGGTCGGCCTAATCGCCACAGCGGTGGTCATCATCATAATCAGCTCAATCCCAACGTAGGATATGGAGCCCGACCGTCGTATGGTCAGCAGTATCCAGCAAAGTATGCATCCCCTCCTCCACCCATCCAACTAAATTACCCCTGCCAAATCCCGTATCAACCACGGCAGGTTTCCCCTTTGCAACCTTATCAGCAACACCCGTATTAGTCCTCTGCGAAATTTATTGCCCGATGAGCAGTATAATTCACAGTTTTTTCAGTAAGTGTTTCAATTTTTTCGAAACTGCTTATTTTTTTCGTGTTTGATCTGCATTCAATTTCATGTATAAAATGAATCTCTCAGTAACTCCACATTAGATTTCTTAGATCCTGCAAATGATACTCGATTAAACAAGGATTGCAACGTCGAAACCAAACTGTGAAGTGAGAATTTTGAAATATCAATCGTCTGAAAATACAAGGATGAACTCAAGGGCAAGAGTCGAACTCAATCAAACCGACTCACCTTAACTTCTCTCTTGAGGACAGTTTCATAATAATCAAGTATTCTTGCGATGTTTGTGTCAAAGTTCCAAACTACAAGACCAACAACACTGGTACTCTCATTCGTTAACTGATAGTCATCTGATCGTCTTAAGATTCCAGACTCACCTTTTTGAGCAAAGTGCGGGTACCAGTCCATCGCTCTGAAGGTCTACCAAACAAACAAGATAAATATCTTCTGAATCCATTCTTACGTGACACCGTCGACGGGACTCTTCCGGGTTCACCAACAAGCAGACAACAAGATCAGGAGCTGTTCCTATGGATGACGGCAGTTCTTGCGTCTGACGATCACGTAATCAAGGTTTCGTGGATGAAGCTTCCCACCATTTCAACGTCTTCTGCGGCGTTAAGAATGACGACTGGTTTGCGAGCGGCCGGTCTCCCCTCCAGATTCGGGCAGTGCCTTGTTGTTCGATTGTAAACTTTAACGTCTCATCTTGCCTGCGAGACCAAACTGAGTTTAAGATGTGTGTACTATTTTACCGGGTGAGTGTATCAATCAGTGCAGCCAAATCAATCAACGGGGAACTAATCAGTGTGACATAAGAGGTCCGAGATTTTGAACGAGGTCGCCACTCGTGGTTGGAGTAGAATGTCATTGCACTCAACTTGGGAGGATTGTTGTCTTCGGCCGAATCCGATACATGACGGGATTTGTACCTCTTGAGCGGACAACTGGGAATTCCTGCAGGTGGTTTGGTGTCTCTAGGAAAGGAATATGGGGATACTTGATTGGGTGAGGACGATAGATGTTCTGCAAATGTCATTGAGACCCAAAGAAAATAATGTAATTGTGGAGAAAGTCACTGAAGCACACCACACAGTATTCAACCACAGCGGTATTCCAGCAGAATTGAAGAGCGTCTAAGCTTGTTAACACTAAAAAATGCTTCACATCACGATTGGAGAAACGCTATATCGATATCAATCCCTGGGGGTCGTACACCCTTGTGATCGCACAGCGACATTGGATCGATCAGTTGTGTTCCATTAAAGGAGAGTGAAATAAGGTTTGCTTTCACACCACACTTTTCAGCTAGGAGTAATTTGACGTATCCGACCTCATTTGACTCCTTAACCTGACAGCATTGATCAAATTCATGGTCCTAATTGCACGCAATCATACTTTCATTTCAATCACGCTTCCGTCTGGGAATTTCATCTTCAATAAGAGGTCTTTGCCAAATAGTGCCTCGTCCTCCTGCCGTCTTAATTCATCATTTTTTGAAGGCAAAGTCAACGAACCACTCGTGGAAGACGGAGTGGCGATCTCTTTACTCATGGATGACAAGGTTGTTGAAAGTGAACCAAGCGAGCATGCAATCTAATCTGTGCCTGGAAGACTGATACCCATCTCACACTTACTATGCCTCCCCGCGAAAGTCTTGTTTTCCCTGATGATATCATTTATGGTCAGCGATGGTCAGAAGGAAATGTTGAATATCGTTTGGTCAAATTAAACCGCGAGGCGTACGAAAAATATAAAAAGTATATTGTCACGAAAAGTGATTCTCGCCTAGTTGAAGCGGAATGGAGGAAGGTGATCGGTTTGAGGATGAGCCCTGGATGGCAACATTTTATTATTTGGCCGAAGGAACCAAACATTCTCCTGTTTAGAAGAGAAACAAATAGTTTGGGAAACTCGCTCTGAAATAAGTTTCCCTCGACGAGTGTGATTTTATATCGGATTTTGTCATTTCAAGCGTAGAGCCCTCTCCATATGAAGTGAAGAATATCCACGTCTATCCGCATTTCTTTCATTTTCATCCTCGTCTTCTCTATCATCATCGTAGCGTATGTTGTTTGTTCGTTTATTTCCTAATGATGATGATTCCTTGGTCCGAGGATCTTCTTCAGTTGGGGCTGAGGCCAGGACACCATTCTTCCACAACACCCACTCGACACATTCAGGTGTCACACTTTCCCTTCCCCAAACCGAAGCCCTAGAAACTGATGAATACAAACACCATTTTTATAAACAAGAACTGTTGGGACTCTTGAATCTGGAAAGTTAGGAATAACATCTGAACCAATCGCCTTACAAAACTTGACATTTCCGTTGCGGCGTGCCACTGACACGAAGGCTCTATTGATCAATTCACAGACAGGTTTCCCTTCAGCGTAGAGATGAATAACAACATGTTCCCCTGGAATTGCTTTGGATGCTTCAGTCACCTCATTGACGTACCCATCCTTCCCGACGTGAACGACCTCCCCAAATTTGTACGCATCCCTTTGTCGTTTTAATTCCTCAAGTCGCTTCTTTCTATACGCTTCGAGAGTATCTTCTTCTAATTCATCCTCCAGCAATTCCAATTGTTCCAAATTCTTCGATTCAAGTACATCTTGAGATTCCGCAAAATCGATAGCAAGATTACTCAAAAGTTCACCCGTTATCGGTTTCTGACGCTCAGGATAGTTACCATATTTGATCTGAAGATAAAGACATTATCGGCCCATCATGATGCGCTTGACACATTACTTGAAGTTCATCCCACTCCGTCGTTACTTCTGTTGGATTTGTGGTTGACATTCTAATGGACCAACTGAAATTCTGACGCTTCAGGCCCAGGATGGATATTCTTCTCCGACTGCAGGTCAATAATCTTTTTGATAGCTATGGATATTGGAAGCGCAAAGCCTGGTTGGGGGTCTTCGTTGGGTCATTCAGTTTCTTCTTTATCAGTAGTTTCAAGTACCAGTGTGTCATTCGCGGCAACCCAGCGGGAATTACAGAATTTAGTAAAGTACGAACGATCGTTTTGTCGTCCATTTTCTGTCGCTCGTTTGTATTGTCCTTCCTCGCAGATTCGGTTATGTTGGACGCTTTTCGGTCGTTCGCGATCACGCTATTTCGGGAAATTAATGGAGCGTCACATCCCTCTCGAAATGCGGTGAGTATTCCCAAATGCATTATCGATACCCCTTCCCAAATGCATTACCGATACCCTTCCCAAATGCATTACCGATACCCCTTCCCAAATGCATTACCGATACCCCTTCCCAAATGCATTACCGATACCCCTTCCCAAATGCATTACCGATACCCCTTCCCAAATGCATTACCGATACTTCTGGTGTAGCAAGGGCGTTTTTATTACATTTGCAAATTTAACTGGAATCGATTTAAGTGAAGCGCGTTATCCACTTCGGTCCTACAAATCGATTGCTCATCTCTTTGCGCGAACACTTCGGGATGGATTGCGTCCCATCGAAGACGCTGATGACTCCGACTCTCTTGTGCGTTTTATTTATTCTTATGTTCTCATCAAACAATTCATTAGGCGGTCCCTTGCGATGGTGAAATTGTGAATCTGTCGGATATTGGATTCAATGATGAGCGTCTCACTCAATTAGGATCCACGGATACTGTCGGTCCAATCAAAGGTGAGCTTTTCAGACTCATCCAGAAGTTTCTGATATTTAATACTTTTCTTCTCTTAGGAGCAACATTTCGTCTTGAATCCTTTTTGGGTCTTGATCCTCGTTTCAGCAAATCGAAATCATCGAATACGAAACTCGTCTACGCTGTTATCTACTTAGCGCCAGGAAACTATCACCATTTTCACTCCCCTTGCGATATGGGAATTCAGATCAGACGGCATGTCCCTGGGACAACTTTACCAGTATTCAAAAATCTTGCATCGAGGCTTAATGTGGGCAGAAGGAAGAATTGTCGCGAATCCCAACCCCCATCGCTTTCAGGACCTCTTTTCTGTCAACGAAAGAATCGTTTACAGCGGGGCGTGGAAATATGGCCAAATCCATTACTCTGCGGTAGCCGCTTATAACGTCGCCCACATCCGATTGAAATATGAACCTGTACGTTTGTCTTCCATGATCATCCATCACCAAGCAGCTCAAGCTGGTTTGTTCCCGCTGCCTTTTAGGAATTTAGGACGAATGAATTGCGCACTCAGCTCTATGCAACTCATCGCGTCATGAAGTCCCTCTCATATGTTGAACCCCCATTCGATGAAGATTTTATCCACCCAGACGAACGCACAATCGGACCTCCAGGTGAGGCGAAAAACAATATTACTTGAGCTCAAGACGGAATTAATGCAGCTTATCAGAAACTGTTATCTGTTGTTTAGGTGACGAGAAACCAGTGAAGGCGCATTGGGTTTCTAAAGGGGAGAGGTTGGGAGAATTTAGAATGGGATCAACGATAGTCGTTGTTCTCGAAGTCCCAGAAAACTTCAAGTGGAAGGTTGTAAGTCGGACGCCTCTAGTATCTATCAGCTATCATCATCTGCATCCAGGCCATTGGAGATAAAGTCAGAATGGGCCAGGTTTTAGGTCGAGCAGGCGATGCCGTGTGATTTTGACACCAATTTTTTCATATGCTTTTCTTTTTTCATATGCTTTTCTTTTTTCATATGCTTTTTTAAACTTCTATTTCACATCCCACTTGTTAACTCTTCCGGGTTTTGTTGGTGGTTTTTCTTCAACTGGTTTTGCAATTTTCACTTGGTTTGAAGAAGATTCTTTCGCGGCAGTTTGAAGCTTGGCTAAAAAGAAGAAATCAATAAGAGGCGGGTGGATGAACTTAAAAAATGAACTTACCAAAACGGCAACCTTCAAAAACATCCACTGCCTCAGGATCGTACAAAACTGTCGGAAAGTTGCTTGAATACGGATTAATGTCGAAAACAGACATAATTGTCTGTCAATGATGGCATCATTTCGGCTTATACACACAATCCTTACTTCTAAACAATATGGATTTTGGGAATTGAGGAGTTTCACTGATGTACTGAGTAACTGTTTTTCCCTGATACGTTAAAAGCTTCTTTACATTTTCCTAACAAAGCAAGGAATTGCTAAAAAAAATGCAATAAAAGGAAACCTTACGCATAAATTCATTTGTGATTCATCTGATAACTCAATTTTTTCAAGTTCTGTTGAAGTATTAGATGAACCATTGACTTGAAGGGATTCTTTTCCATGGAGTGGTTCACAAACACCTCCCCTTGAATTCTTGCTGTTTTTGTAGGTCTGGTACTTTCATTCACCGGACTTCGTTTCTTTCGCGTCTGTTCTCTGGATGGAACGTCTTCATCAGAATCCGCAGCATAATCCACTAAAGATGACATCTCGCCTAGTCCCAGCTTGTTCCAGTGTTCACGCCACTTATCATGAAGCCATCTAATGAAGGGATTCGGCACCACGGAAAAGGCTCACCATCATAGTGATATGAGCAGAGCAGAGCTGTTGAGCCGTCCTGTCGATTCTAAGTCCTTGACTCCTCAAAGCCTACCTCTCAGTGATGCTCCATCTTGTGCCACAACGATTTCGCGGCTAAGTTCAGTTTTAGAAGCTTTAGGGCGCTTTGAACAAGATGTTCGTGATGTTCTCAATCCTTTGCACCCAACGTCTGAAGCGGAGTCTCCTGGGGTCAATAGGAAGGCTGTGACGCGACAGTTTTCAGTGAAGTCAGAAGAGAACGCTTTCTGGGATGGAAGAATTTCGACGGAAATTGCTGAATTCAGTCCTGATGAAGCGTCTCCTCGAAGATTGGGCGACCTAGTGGCTGATGGTCAATCTCCTTCTAGGACGATTGGCCTCGCTTTGAATTTACTTGTTTCTCGTGTTGAGCGTCAGCTTGACTCTCTTCTTGCAAAAATACAGTTCTCGGTGAGTCAATAAGAAATTGTCTCTCGATATTGCGTGTCTTCAGGCGAAAGGGGCGGCAGCTGAGGTTGAGGCGCTCCAATCGAAGTGCCACGAAACAGAGAGGAAGGCAATTCGGCAGGTTGGTGCAGAGAACTGCGCGTTTTTCACATCTTTGCTTGTTAGGGGGAACACATTGAGGATCTGGAAGGCCAGCTATCGGAGGCCAAGGAGGCGTTGGAGGGTCAAGCAAAACTTCGCCGTTTAGTCGAGCAGCTTGAGAAGCAGAACGAGGTGAGACGATCAGACACAGAAATTCTTGGAGAATGATGATCACTGCAGGGGTTGCGCGAAGCTTTAGAAGAACCCCGCCGTTCATTAGAAAAGGAGAAACTCGACTTCAAAAGGGTTCCAAACAAAAGCGCTCAGAGCGAGGTTTGCCGTTTCTCTGCTTTCGTTTATCCGAAGCACGCTGTTCTTAGGCGGATGAAATTGCTGACCTTCGTGCAGAAATCCGAGATTTGCAATCTCAGGTAAATTAGAATTGCTGTTGGGCAGATTCTCTCACTTCAGCTTGAGGCGGCGACTGAAGCTGCCCGTATTGTTTCTTCCTTTGAGGAACCAGCCCATATTGTTTCTTCCTTTGAGGAACCAGCCGAGATTGTTTCTTCCTTTGATGAACCAGCCGAAATTGAACCAGCCGAGAAGTTTGGCGAATACATCGCAATGCAATTCGAGCAGTCCGGCGGTGCTTTAGAAGATCTATTTCGAGATGAATGCTCTCGTGTCTGGCGATCTGTGAGACCACCAGGGTCGGAACTCCCTGTAGAGTTTTTCACCTCTTCGTCTGAAACAGTTTCTGAGCTGGAGGTAGAGTGCAGAGGGTTCAACTCGACTGATGTGGGGAATTTTCAGGACGCGAACAAACAGTTAAAGGCTAAAATTGAAACACTTGAAGAAGAACGGGTAAATTTATTTCATCTTCTGGCCACCAATTTGTTTTTTGTTCCAAGAATTCGATTGCTTCTCTGGCAAATCATCATTTGGGTGCTTTTGAATCGGACGTACGAGCTTTTATTGAAGCAGAAAGGGAACATCTTCAACAAACATCGCCGCCCCCTTTCATAGTGACTGAATTGGCTTCTAAGCTCTCCCTCAAGTCTCAGAGGTGCTGACTTAGAAGACATTGCTTAATACCTTTCCTTTTCAGGGCCTTGAGCGAAGCTCTTGCAGAGATTCTTGAGGTCCAAAGCCAAATGTCCCAAGCTTCTTTCCAACGAAGACCCAGTTCTCAGGAGGGAGATATAACTGGCCGCAAACCCAAACGACTCTACCGTTACCGCCTTCAAAATTACCTCATTTAATCGGGTTAGTTAATGCACCAACGGAACGGACAAAAAAAGGGATGCTATAAGAATGCAAATTTCAATGCTTCACTCTCTAAATCTGCAACAGAAGAGGGGTCCAAGTTCACGCTTCTTCCTCTGGGGGGCTTCCTCATCGCTAGACATCTCAAATGATGGAAGCTCAGTGGGTGCTAAAACAGCAACACTGCCTCCTTGAGGTTCTTGGCGTTGGCGTTTTTTCTCTCATCCGCTTCTTCAAATGTCTTTGATGGATACGATCCTTCTCTCTAGCCTAAACCCAACAGATCATTTTCGGTTTTGGATCAATTCCACTTACTTTATCTGATTCGGATTTTTTTTCAAGTCTTTCTTGGATTTTCTTCAAATGCATTTGTTGTCTTGACTCTCCATTTCCATTATCCGTTTCACTTCCGGATAAATCGTCACTTTGATTTTTTGAACCATTATTCACAGGCCTACAGACGCATAATATTGAACATTTCTTTTGAACAAATTTTACCGAGCGGGGCTTTCGTCGTCACTACTGAAGAAAACGTGCGCGGTTTCATCTCGTTGCAATGCTGCCAGCCCCTTGACTTTCGCTGTTCCATCTGCTCGTATTCTGATGTTCTGTTTTCGCAGCTTTCTTCTTGCATCCAGAGAATTCAAATCAACCAATGGAATTGATGGAACTGGTTGCCTCATCTCTGATTCCTCAACACGTTCAAGCACATCGTCCTCATCGCTGAGATCTTCATTTGGCTTCGCCTCACGAATCTCTTTTAGTCGTTCTAATTTTCTTTCTTTCTTTGAAATCTTACTCTTCTCTTGATCGCTATCAGATGCAATCCAATCACCAAGTCCTTCACTTTGTCCCTTCATCAATCGTTTTTCTAAAATCTTCTGTCTTAATTTCTCCAATTTGCTGAGTTTCTTTTTCTTTCCCGTCGAAGCTTTTTCATCAACAATATCATCTAGTGATGGAGTCACTTCCAATCCCAGCGATCTTGCGAACTCATTCGCGGCTTCGGTAGTTTCAAGCGTCTTCCTAATATTGAAAACATCTCGATCTCTCCCCAATCGGATGCTTCTCAAATACGAGGTGAAGGCACGCTCTGCAAGATGGCGAATTTCCGGACTGAAGGAAAAAATCATAACGGCAAGAAAACGAAACAGACAACCTACTTTTCCGCAACAATGGAGCCTAACTTCAAAGATATTGAAAGAACTTTGTTTTTGTTCACCGCTAATAGTTTAGGACGAATCTAAATTCAACAGTGAATGAAGAACTGAAAAAGAGACCCTCGCTTACTCCTTTCTCTTCCAGTCTTCGCAGGAAAGTCGTTTCAGATGGGAGGAGGAATAAGACCGCCTTCCCAGTGGAATGGTACCGCGCTGTGCGACCCACCCGATGAATATAGGTTTCTACATCTTGAGGGCAATTCAACTGAACAACCCAATCCACAGCAGGAAAATCAATCCCTCGCGCTGCAATGTCCGTGCAAATGAGGACTGCTGCATTTTCCTTTGATGAGAATTCCCCGAAGACTTCTAACCGTTTCTGCTGTTTTTGACGACCATGAAGCTCAAAAAGACGTCCACCTAGAAATCAAACGAGAAGTGGGACCTTGAAATAGATCAACTACAAACCTGGCTTCAAACGTCGAAAGGATTCGAATAGAAAGCGAACTTGCTTGCAAGAATTGACGAAAACAATCACCTTCTGAGAAGAATGAGTCCTCAGAAAGGAAAACAGAAAACTTAGTTGATCAGGAAGATTAACGATGCTGTAAGTTTGTTTAAGGCGATCAGGAACCAAAGACCCGTGATTTGTTCCTGTTAAAGAAATCCGTTCTGGAGATTCCTGAGAGAAATAACGAGAGTGAATTTTGATCTTCGTAAGAACGCAAACCTTCAGGGAGATAAGGGCGAGTCGACGAACTGCCGAAGATAAAGTTGCTGAATATAGAAGTGTTTGACGCGCTGAAGCATCAGGGAGTTGGGAAATGATGTTTTCCATTGTTTCTGAAAATCCCATATCGACAAGCTGATCAGCTTCATCAACAACTGAAGGGAGAGAGGAAATTTTAGTGACAGAACAACGCAGCAGCACGAGAGATTCAAACCTAAAATTTGAAGATTTGAACAATCAAATCCTGGCGATTCATCCAAATGTTGGAGAAGACGACCAGGAGTTGCAACTATAATATTCATTGAATTGGCGTGTTTGGCTTCTTGATCAAAAAATCTCCCACCAATCAAACAAGCTGCGGAAAAATCGTGGTGCCTGAATCAGCAACATGTTTCTGGTTTGTTTGAATCTCACCGACTTTCCAACATCCCGTAATACGTCGAATATCTGAGACGCTAGTTCTCTTGCTGGTGTAATCACAAGAGCTCCCAAACCAGCCTCACTGTCCCATTTTGCACGATAGAGATTTTCTAACAACTAGAAGAGAGTTGTTAAGGTCCACAGTGAATAACGCTTACGGGGAATTATGAAAGCTAGAGTTTTGCCTGAACCTGTTTCTGCTTCTCCCATCACATCGCGACCGCTTAGAGAATGAGGAATTGCAAGAGATTGGATTGGAGTCAAACGAGTGAATTGGCATTCTTTGAGACCTCGAAGAGTTCGCGAAGATATCGGCAGATCGGTAAACAAGAGCGCTGTCAGAGATGGCCCGTCTGGCTGGCTACTTTGTTCTTCTTGCTTGACGGAACCAGACTGCCCAGACGGAGGGCATTCTAGTTGGATTCGCGCCTCTAAGTCTTTCAGTTCGGCGTCTCTTGCGGGTTTAATTTCGCTCCTCTTATGGACGGCTTTCCTTTTATCGAATTTGGGCTTTTGCTTCTTAAGGAGCTTCATTCTGTTTTCGATGAGGCACAGTCCAAACTGGTTCCGCTGCACTTGGTGGAAAAAACATTTGTTTAGATGTATTTTGTGTCGCTCGTCAAGCGACCAGTTGATGATAAACGGAGTTCATCGATGACTCTTTTTGAATAATAAAATGGAATCATATCAATAGCAAGAACACCACGACAAAAGGAGGGATCGTTTTTCACAAGATCATTGCAAAGTTTATCTATCTTGACTTCAGTTAGAGATTTTGCAAGCCATCCGAATTCTTTGATTGAATTTTCATTCGACTTTCCAGAATTGCGAAGAATGTTGAGAATATCATACGCTTTAGGCCCAATCGCATAACCTTGTTGCGAGCTCGATTTCAGAGTTTGAATTGTCGTGTTTTCAATGATGATTTGCCGAAGAGCAAACTTGACTGTGCGGTTAAATCGCCACCGCTCTGAAGAGAATTTCACAAGAATAATGAAAGCGATGGCAATGGCGATGGGAAGCATTTGAGTTTTAGCTGTTCGGAGTAAAACGCAAGAGAGGGTCCTCTTCTCTAAAATGGAGAAGAAGAGCGTTACATTGCGTCTGTTGTCGTAATCTCGGCACGATCCAACATGAGGTTCGACAACGTCACCAGAAACCGCTTTTGTCTTCACACCATAACGTTGCTGATCATCAGGATTTGTCACCAATTCCTCAAACAGAAGTTGAAGTGCAGCCGGATTGTTAATTTTTGAAGAAAGGAACTCGCTGAGAAAACATTGGGTGAATCCAACGGACTTCTCTCCTTCATCAATTGAAACAAGGACACCGTCTGAATTCAAAGATGCTGAGTTGCACAAAAAAGTCGCACGCTCTTTCGCCAAGAAATCAGCTGTCAATTTGAACAGCTTATAAGCGACCCGATAGATCTCGCTGTCCTTGATGCAAGATGCAGATCGGCCTCTTGATTGTTGGCGATATTGGGGTTTCCGACACTCCATCTTTCCATCACTACAAATTGCATTATCAGGACATTTGATGCAATTTTCACCGTTAGAAGTTCCATCAGAGTTACAAAAGGGAGAAGTTGTGAAGAGCGACATGTCAAAGAGAGACTTGGAGTTCGTCATTCCTTCTTCTGGTTTGGAGCGTATGAAGTAGAAGGATGTAGCAACTATGACGGAGATCAGTGCGATGATTCGTCCCCAGTTATATTTCACAACAGGGTCTCCAGTTCGGCGTTTGAGCTTCGTTTTTGGTGGCGACACAGTTCGACTCTCGCGCACTGGAGATCCAGAGGGATCCCGTATCTTCCATCTGATTGCTTTTCCCTTCGCGTCGACCACCGGCATGTGCGCGGAGTCGACGAATCGATTGGTTGGTGTTTCGCACGGAGGGGATGCGTTACGCGATGAGGTTGCGTTGCGTGGTGGGGTTGCGTTGCGTGGTGGAGATGCCTTGCGTGGTGGGGATGCTTTGCGAGTGGGGGATGCTTTCCGTGGGGACATTTTGCGCGGAGGGGATGGGAAACCATCGTCGGAAGGGACACTGAAACGGCCAGCTGCCCGAACGACTTTACCCCTCGCTGGTGTGTCGCCAGTTTCAATAGGAGTGCTGTTTCGTGTGGATCTCCGTTTCGCAAATTCATAACGGGCGCTTTGAGAAGCAGAAAGAGAATCCATTTCTTGAATCTGGGAAGACAGAATGTTAAAGATACTCGAGAATGGAACGTACAGAAGGCTTGTTGTATGTCTCAATTAAGATCTGAGAAGTTCGAACCGTGTTGATTGAAACTGACACAACTCAACAAGAATCAAAGAAGACAAAACAGCTCTGAGTTCTACTCTAAGGAATCCATTCTGCATTCCAACTGATGAGCAGGAGAAACTCAAAATGTTGAAGGACGACACAACAACAGAAACATCGAACCCTGCACCAAAAGGGCCAGGTACTGGACCTGTCGGAGTTCATGACGCCACCCAACGGATTTCTTCATGAAGTTTCGCTGCATTCCAGTGAATTGGAACAGTTAAGCGTCATCATGTTTCCTCGTTCGGGTGCAATGGCAGATTATCACTCATAAAAGACATCAAGAAATACCAAAATTGTCAGTGATGGAAGACCAAAACATTGACAACAGCTTCTGTGATGGGGTCACATTTTCGTCGAATCTTCTTCGAAACGGTTCAAAGGATTTTCACGAACAGCGACGAGCGAATTGCAGTGGAAGGCCATTTTTGGTTTCCTTCGGGAATGTCGAAGTCCCAACAGATGACGAGGATGAGGAGGAAAATGGATCGATGACACAATCAACGGCCCAGCCAAATGGTGGCCCTGCAGTCCCCCCGTCGTCTGGCGCTCGACGACTGGTTTTATTAAAGCGTCCAAATATTCCTCGGGGTCATTCGCCTGGAACTGAATTATCTCAAGCTTCTCAAGATGTTCCAATTGAGCAACCGTCTTCTCTGAGTTATTCCAATCCCCCACAGGCCCAACCTGTCGAGGCACTCCCATCCGACGACACCGTGGTTCTGGGATCTCAAGTCGATGAGGAGTGCCCACCTGAAGCCGTCGACAGTTTTAAGGGTTCTGGACAGTCATTAACACTCGAGGAAAGAGAACAAGCCGTACGTCATCTCTAATTGTGTTTTGTAATTCTTTCTGTTTCTTTCAGTATGAAGAAGCTCGGCGACGAATTTTTGGATCACCAGCATTGGATTTTGACGCTGAACCTCTCCAGCTTGACGTCCCTCCCTTTTACCAGGCTCCTCCTGTAGTTGGACAACCTCGCCCGTTGCGCCCACGTCCCTTCAAGACAAACCCACTTCTTCCTTCAGCAGTCGCGTACCCACCGACACCATTCTTGGATATCCCACAATGGCCCCCTTATCCTGCGAACTTTCCCATTGGTTTGCCATCTTATGGTCCATCAGGAAGCAACTCTCAATTTACTGATAATGCTGAACTTGGGCCTCAATTTTCTCAATCTCAAGTCTTCA